GCCACAGTATAGCTATACTTATTATAATTGTCTTAAAGCATTAATGAAGCTTTCTGTAGCAAGTGATTGAACCAACATTTAAATCTCCTCTTCTACAAATAAAGTTGGTTAAAATGAATAGATGGTTTCACTTTTTTAATCTACAAATATTACAGACGTATCATATGGAACATATACATCTTCATAAGAAAATAAGAAAGAGAAAAAATCTTTTTTATTTTAGAATTACTCTTATTTACATATCAATCCCACCATTCCCTCATCCTCCCATGCTTCCCACTGGCCCCCCAACCCACCTCCCACCCACTCCCCAGGGATAGTGAGGCACTCTGCAGGGAGCCATCAAAGTCTGTCACTTCATTTGGGGGAGGGCTCAGGCCCTCCTTTCTGTATCTGGGCTGCAATAGTATACCTCCACGGGGAATGGGCTTCCAAAGTCCATTTGTGCACTAGGGATAAACACTGGCTCCACTGTTAGAGGTCCCATAGACTGCTCTGGCCTCCTAGCTGGCAGAGGGCTTGGTTCAGTCCAATGCAGGTTCCTAGCTTTATGACTAGGGTCTCAGTGCTCTCACTAGGTTTCTACAGTACTGTCTTGGCTCCTTTGCTCATCCCTCCTCTCTCTGTGCAACTGGATTCTACGAGTATGGCTCAGTGTTTAGCTGTGGGTGCCTGTTTCTGCTTTGATCAGCTACTGGATGAAGGCTCTCACTCAGGATGTTTTCTTCCAGTTCTATCCATTTGCCTGCGAATTTCAATATTTCATTTTTTTTTCTGCTGAGAAATACTCCATTGTGTAAATGTACCATATTTTCTCCATCTACTCTTCGATTGAGGGGCTTCTAGGTTGCTTCCAGGTTCTGGCTATTACAAACAATGCTGCTATGAACATAGTTGAACATATGTCCTTGTTGTATGAATGGGCATCTTTTGGATATATGCCCAAGAGTGGAATTGCTGGATCTTGAGGTAGACTGATTCCCATTTTCCTGAGAAACCTCCATACTGATTTCCAAAGTGGTTGTACAAGTTTGCACTCCCACCAGCAATGGAGGAGTGTTCCTCTTTCTCCATATCCTCTCCAGCATAGACTGTTGTTGGTGTTTTGATTTTAGCCATTCTGACAGGAGTGAGATGATATCACAAGTTATTTTGAGTTGCATTTCCCTGATGTCTAAGGATATTGAGCACTTTCTTAAGTATCTTTCAGCCATTTTAGATTCCTCCTTTGAGAATTCTCTATTTAGTTCCATACCCCACTGTTTAATTGGATTGTTTGATGTTTTAGTGGCTAGCTTCTTGAGTTCACTCTATATTTTGGAAATCAGCCGTCTGTCAAATATGAGGTTGGTAAAGATCTTTGCTCATTCTGTGGGCTGCCTTTTTGTCTTGTTGACTGTGTCCTTTGCCTTACAGAAGCTTCTCAGTTTCAGGAGGTCCCATTTATTAATTTTTGATCTCAGTGTCTGTGCTACTGGTGTTATGCTCAGGAAGCAGTCTCCTGTACCAATTCGTTCAAGGGTACCTCCCACTTTCTCTTCTAACAGGTTCAGTGTGACTAGATTTATGTTGAGGTCTTTGATCCATTTGAATTTAAGTTTTGTGTGCTGTGATAGATAGGGATCTATCTGTAGTCTTCTACATGTCCCCATCCAGTTATGCCAGCACCACTTGTTGAAGATGCTTTCTTTTTTCCCATTGTATAACTTTAGCTTCTTTGTCAAAAATCAGATGTTTTTAGGTGTGTAGCTTAATATAAGGTTTTTCAATTCAATTCCATTGGTCTACCTGTCTGCTTTTGTGCCATTACCAGGCTGTCTTGAGAACAGTGTATCTATAATAGAGCTTGAAGTCAGGGATGGTGATGGTTCCAGAAGTTGCTTTATTGTACAGGGTTGTTTTGGCTATGCTGTTTTTTTCCATATAAAGTTGATTATTGTTCTTTAAAGGTCTATGAAGAATTGTGTTCTATATAACTTTATACTTTCCTCCCCATAAGTATATGATAATACTAGTTCCTCCATGTTCTCAGCAGAGCTTCATAGGTCAGGTGCTTTAATTTTATGCATTTTACTGGATATATAGTCATAGCTATGTGAACTCTTTTAACTAAGTGCTTGTATTTGGAGATGTATAAGTTAGTTCCTATTTTAAAATATTCTTATTCAAGCATATAGTCTTTTAACAAATAATTATATAATTAAAAAAGTTGATGAAATTTGTTTTTTAGCTCATAATTTTCCATATAATAAATTGATTTTATCTGTTCATTTATTTCATAAACACTTATTGAGCATTTATTATCTGTTGAACTCTGAATTGAAAAGGCACTGGCTATCCAAAACCAAATCAAATATTGCTCTTGTATTTGTGAACTTTGAAGTTCAGAGGGTAGAGCAAATAAATTGAATCTGTTAACAAATTATGATCGGAAGAGGAATTGGTTCAGTGGCTATTCTCATAGACCCACAAAGAAAAAAGAAGAAATGCAGACATTAAATTATTTCAATATTGAGATACATGGGAAAGGGTGAGCAAGCAAAGCATGTGAGAAGGGATAAAAGTCAGCACACAGCAGAAATATCTAAATACTCAGGCTTGTAGCAGCATTGTTCATGATGGTCACTTTATAGAAACAATCTAGTGTATATGGGGATTTCTCATTGAGAAATGCCCCCCATAGGCTCCTTTGAACACTTGATTCCTAGGTTATGGTACTGTTTGGAGAGTTTTAGGGGGTGGCCTTTCTGGAGGATGTACATCACTGGAGACAAACTTTAAGGTTAAAAACCTCCCGCCATTCCCTGTGTGTGGAAGGAAATGTAATCTCTCAGCTTCCTGCTCCTGCCATCACGCCTACTGCCTGTGTTCATGCCTCTTCACCCAGAAAGAATCATCCCTCTGGAATCACAACCCAAAATAAAATCTTCTATAAGTTGCTTTTGTCATGGTATTTTTATATCAGCAACAGAAAAGGAACCAATAAAGTGTACTCCAACGAGTATAGAAGGAGAATGAGGTACATGCTCACAACAGACGACTATTCAAACATCAAGAAAATGAAATTATGTTGTTTGTAGGCAAGTGAATAGAATGGAACCAGAGATCATCATGTTATGCAAAACAAGCCAGATTCAGGAAGACATGTTACATGTTTTCTTTCACAAGTGAAGTCTACATTACAAATAAACAAACTTGAGTAAGGCGTCCACTTACTATTTGGGAAGATGAAGTGATCTAGTGGGAAGACTATTGATCTGATGAATATGACAAATAAAAACCTCTTGAAATGTCTGCATAAGAATGTAGTGATTACAGCCACACTGAACCTCATAGAAGAGAAAGTGGGTGGTACCCTTGAATGAATTGGTACAGGAGACAGCTTCCTGAACATAACACCAGTAGCACAGACAGTGAGATCAACAATTAATAAATGGGACCTACTGAAACTGAGAAGCTTCTGTAAGGCAAAGGACACAGTCAGCAAGACAAAAAGGCAGCCCACAGAATGGGAAAAAATATTCACTAATCCCACATCTGGCAGAGGGTTGATCTCCAAAATTTACAAAGAACTCAAGAAGCAAGTCTCTAAAACAGCAAAGGACCCAATTAAAAAGTGGGCTGCAGAACTAAATAGAGAGTTTTCAATAGAGGAGTCTAAGATGGCTGAGAGGCACTTGAGAAAGTGCTCAACATCCTTAGCCATCCGGGAAATGCAAATCAAAACAACTCTGAGATACCATCTCACTCCTGTCAGAATGGCTAAAATCAAAAACACCAATGACAATTTATGCTGGAGAGGATGTGGTGAAAGGGGGACACTCCTCCATTGCTGGTGGGAGTGCCAACTGGTTCAGCCACTTTGGAAAGCAGTATGGAGATTCCTCAGAAAAATGGGAATAAACCTACCACAAGACCCAGCAACTCTACTCTTAGGCATATACCCAAAAGATGCCCATTCATACAACAAAGATGTCTGTTCCACTATGTTCATAGCAGCTTTATTTGTAATAGCCAGAACTTGGAAGCAACCTAGATGTCCCTCACCCGAAGAGTGGATAGAGAAAATGTGGTACATCTACACAATGGAGTACTATTCAGCAGAAAAAAATAATGGAATCATGAGATTCGCAGGCAAATGGATGACACTAGAAGAAACCATCCTGAGTGAGGTAACCCAGTCACAAAAAGAGAAACATGGCATGTACTCTCTCATATATGGATTTTAGACATAGATCTGGGGAGTGCCAGCCTACAATCCTATGGCCAGACAGTCTGGGAAACAGAAACTACATTTAGTGGCTGGTTAAGTACTGAGCTGAACTCAAGAAAGCCAGTATCAGAGAGGGAGGACTGATGATCAAAGGGATTAAGACTGGGCTGGTTTAACCCCCAGAAACAGCTGACCAGACAAAGGTTAACTCTTGAATCCCAGGCATCAGCCTGGGAATCCAGCATGGGACTGATCAAGACCCCCTGAATCTGGGTGTCAGTGAGGAGGCCTAAGTAATCTATTGAGCCTTGGGCAGCAGATCAGTACCCATCCCAAGTATACACACGGACTTTGGACTCCCACAGAACAATGTGAGGTGCACTCTCACCCTGAACTCTTGGGGAAGGGTCTAGGCCCTGCCCTATATGAAATGACAGACTATGGACACCCCCATGGAGGGCCTCACCCTCCCTGGGGGAACGAGGGGATAACGGGGGGGATGGGGGGAAGGCACGGGAGGAGGGGAGGGAAAGGGAGAGGGACCTGGAACTGACTTGTGAAGCAACCTTGTTTCTTATCTAAATTAAAAAAAAAGAATAAAAAAAAAGAATGTAGTGATTAAATCTACTGCTTTGAATGAAGAATATGTAGCAAGCAAGCAAGAACTCTGAAACTGTAAGAAATATGCAAGAAAGAAAATTTAGATCTCAAGTGAGGAAAGAGTCTTAAAGCAGGGCATGGCAATCAGGCATAAATATGAGGTTAGATTCGTAGCTGTGAGACCGGCATGAACCCTGGGGCTCTGGAAAAGAGTCTGGAGATGATGTTATACAGCTTCAGTATTATGATAAGGATAAAGATCTTTCATCTGGCAGTAAACTAGAACAGGTATTGATTATTTCAAAAGTAATTTTCAAAGAGGTTTTAGGTCTTTCTTCTTGTTGGTCGCTAAGTTTGTTTTTACTTTAGTGTTGCTTATAATATCAATATGACATTATTGTTATTCTTAGTTATGTGTTGGTTATATCAACTTTAGTACTTTGTTTTGTCTTTTGATACAACCATAATAATGAAAAGATTCCCTTTACTACCCCAGAGAGATAGGATTTAGGTATCTACTAAGGTACTGTGGGAAAATAATTTCAGAATGAAATTCTGTCATTAGGTGTTAGCTGTGGCTAAATCAGGCAGACACTGTGATTTCTTTAAGTCATCCTTATTCTTTGAATCTTAAAAAAGATTAATTATTAATTTATTGTATATATGTGATCCTGTAGGAACCCGCAGTGGCCAGAAGAGAGTGCTCGATTGCCTGACACTGGAGTTACAGGTGATGGTGAGCTGCCTTGTGGCTCTGGGAAACCAAGTTTGAACCTCTACAACAACAATAAGAGCTCTTAACTGCTCAGCCATCTTTTCACTCTGTCATACCTTGACTATGACTATCTGCTTCAGCCATCAGCTCATTTCAAATAAAACCTTTGCTGTGCTCTTGCATTTAGTAGTTTCACATTTTCTCTCTAAACCCAAATCTTTTTATATAATGTATATGAACATAAGATCTTTAGCACACCTTTGAGATGTATGCGTAATACCACCAGTGAGAACCCTATCAGCCACTGATTTACTGAAGTAAAAGGAAGCCTACAATTAATGGGAACTGGGAGTCAGAGAGTTTGTTTTCCAAAAAGAAAAGGAGAAATACAGTTAGCTTTTAATGTGTGTGAGTTCTTCACTGGTATATTTAACGAAGCATGGGTCAAAGACATTTAAAGGAAACATTGTATCTATGTGGAGTGCAGAATTTTTGGTCATTATTTTCCACTAAATACAGTGCAAAACTATTCACATAGTATGCACAATGTGTTTAGTGTGATAAATGGTCTAGGGAGGATTTAAAGCAAGGGCAAGACATGCTTTGGTTACATGCAAGTTCAATGTGACTTTATGCAAGCAACTAGAGGACTTGTAGATTTTTATATTCTCAGGGACCTTAAAGAATACCCCCAAAGATAAGCACAGACTACCACATCTTAGAGCTGAGTGGGAGTGGCTTCTTTTCACCAGAAATATATAGTACAAAGTTATTAGTTAAATACATATGCCGTTGTTTGTACAAACACAAAGCCATAAGGCTAAATCTAAAAAAAATAGTGATTTTAATAGGTCAAATATGATGAAATACCAATAATTTAATAGACTTCAACGTAATATTTCATTTGTGAATGAGGAAACAGGAGTAGGCAGGTTTGTGACTTTCGAAGTCATCCATGGCTGGGATATAAAGCTGTGTAGTATGCTACTTTTTACTGTTTTTAAATTCCAAAGTGAAGTTGTGGAAGGTTTAGTATTGCTGTGATGAAACAACATGAGCATAGCAATTTGGGGAGGAAAGGGTTTCTTTGACTCATGCTTCCACATCACAATTCATCACTGGGCAAAGTCAGGACAGGAACCTGGAGGCAGGAGCTGGTGCAGAAGCTATGGAGAGGTGCTGCTTACTGGCTTGCTCCTCATGGCTTATTCAACCCACCTTCTTATAGAACCAAGAACTACCAGTCCAAAGATGGCACCATCTACAATGGGCTGGTTCTTCTCCCATCAACTACCAATTAAGAAAACACCCTACAGGCTTGTCTACAGCCGGAAACTATGGAGGCATTTTCTTAGTTGAGACTCTGTCTTCTCTGATGACTCTAGCTTGTGTCAAGTTGACATTAAATTAGCCAGCACAGGTCTAATGAGGCTGTTTGTCCTTTCATAACAGTTTATTGTTGAAGATAGATTTAGAAAAAGGAAAATGGGTGTCAATTCCAGCAGAGGAAGGATTTGTATGTTTCAAGATTTTTTTTTACCTAGATTAAATAACAAAGGGTTTATACTTTATACATATAATTGTTTTATCTTCCTTTTTAATGTGATCCTAGATTTAGATACTAGTTGCTATAGAATTTGTCAGCAGGAATTTTTTTGCCCTCTGTGGGTGTTTGAAAGAAGCACCAAAAGGAGTGGCACTCTTAGGAAGTGTGGTCTTGTTGGAGCAGGGGTGGTATTGCTGGAGGAAGCTTGTCACTGTGGGGATGGGCTTTGAGATGTCCTATGCTCAAGCTACACCCAGTGAAACAGTTTATTTACTGTTACCTGCAGATCAAGATGTAGGTCCTTCTCTACTCTCAGCTCCTTCTCCAGCACCATGTCTGCCTGCAGCCATGTCCTGCTATGGTGACAATGAACTAAACCTCTGAAACTTTCAGCCACCAATTACATGTTATAAGAATTGCCATGATCATGATGTCTCTTCACAGCAATAGAAACCCTAAGACATCTTCCCTCCCTCCCTCCCTCTCTCCCTCCCTCCCTTCCTCTCTCACCTTTCCTCTCTTCTTCCCTCCCTCCCTCCCTCTCTCCCTTCCTCCCTCCCTCCATGCCTCCCTCCCTTTCTCCCTGCCTCCCTCCCTCCTTTCTTTTCTTCCTTTCTCTTTCTGTCCTCTCCATTCTCTTTTCTGTCCTCTCCTCCCTCCCCTCTTTTACTTGTTCATCTCTCTCTTACTTTATGCTACTTAAGGTGTATGTTCAAAGCAGTCTTTGGTTAATAGGTTGCTTATGTATTTAAAGTGAACACATTTAAATTTAGGGATATATCTTTAAGCATTACTTTGATTAGATCCTATGGGAAGTGCTGTGAAGTGTTTTGTTTATTATAGTTTCTAAGCCGTATGTTATTAATTCAATTTCCTCTTGACCAAGTTGCCATGTAGAAAAGTAAAAGTACTTTGAAATTTCCTAGTGTATTGTACTTGATCTTTGTTTAAGCTCCTATAAATAATTAAAGCATTCTACAAGTTATATTTAGAATTTATAAAGTGCTATATGTGTATGAATTTTGTGTAGAAAGATAAAAACCAAACTCCATTATGCTTAAGTATTTATGTAAGGCCATTTGGTAAATATTTTCATCTTTCCCCAAACATGTACTTATTTTTGTAGAATCATACAAATAACAGGGGTTTTAAAAATAGTCATATGTTCTGTCTTTATTTATTTTTATAATGGCTCTGAAAATATAAGGAGTTATCCATTCATCATTTTATGCCACTAGCACTTTAGACATTGCTCCACAGTGTTTACAATGATTAACTCTATTGGTATGCATGATATCCTAATGATTAAATGTGCTGAAACTTCAGTTGTTTTGTCATTGGAAATTTATTTTTTCTATTTGTAGCTATAATTTAAAATGTTGAGTTGAATTTATAACACTTTCCTTGTTTTGGAGTATTTCCTTAAGGCAGATTTACATAAATGGGAATCTGGCACAGAAATTATGAAATATTTTTATGACTCTTAATATAATGCCAAATCAGTTTCCTAAAGTATTGGAGCATTTAAAAATGCAATTAGAGATGTGTGAGAGTACCATTTCTTTATTCCCTTGCCAGCATGAGATATTATCTTTTAAAGTGTCTTTTCCTAATTGAAGAGATTCAAAAGGAGAATGTACTTTAATTTGCATTTGCTTTCATGTTTTATAAATATGTTTATGTGTTTCACTTTCTATTTTTGAGCTATTTTCCCCGTTTTTTTTATAATTTTATACATTCAGCTGGCATAATTTACATCATTTTCTTGGACTTCAATACATTATTAGTAAAATACATCCTATTGTTTATTTTCTTCCAGTATAAATTTTATAAGTTTATTAACCAAAGCAATAAGGACAGGGTCTGCACAGATGACTCAGAGGTTGAACGCACTTGATACTCTTACAAAGGACCAAAGTTTGGCTTCCAGTGCCCACATGACTGCTCACAGGTACTTGTAACTATATTTCCAGAAGGGTCAGAGCCCCCTTCTGCTCTCTGCCAGCATTTGAATTCACATGCACATACCTATACACAGATATCCATACACATACGCATAATTACAAAAATGATAAAGTCAGTGTTTGGCGTTAATTATGTCTTAGTGTTACTATTGCTGTCATAACACACCATGATCAAAAGCAACTTGGGAAAGAATACATTTATTAGGCTTGTACTGCTATATCACTGTTTACTAACTGAGTACTAACTGGGTAGGAATTTGGGGGCAAGAATTGATGCAGAGACCATGGAGGAGTGCTGCTTACTGGCTTGTTCCCAATGGCTTGCTCAGTCTGCTTCCTCATAGAACCTAATCCCACCAACCCAGCAATGGCACCACCTACAATGGGCTGGGTCCTCCCACATCAATCACTAATTAAGAAAATGCATGCATGCCAGACCCTCTGAATGTGGGTGTCAGTTGGGAGACTTGGGCAGTCTATGGGGCCTCTGGCAGTAGAATCAGTATTTATCCCTAGTTCATGAAGGGGCTTTGGGAGCCCATTCCCTATGGAGGGATACTCTCTCACCCTAGATACAAGGGAAGAGCCTAGGTCCTGCCCCAAATAATGTGACAGACTTTGATGATCCCCTATGGAAGGCCTCGCCCTCCCTGAGGAGTGGATGGCGGGGTAGGATGGGGAGGTGGGGGGAATGCGAGGACAGGAAGGAGAGGGAACTTGCATTGGTGTGTAAAATAAAATTGTTTGTAATTTAAATAAAAAATTAATTGAAAGAAGAAAATGCCCTACAGGTTTTCTTGCAGTCTGATCTTATGGAGGCATTTTCTCAATTGAGGCTTCCTCTTCCTTGGTGACTCTAGCTTATGTCAAGTTGACATAAAGCCAGCATATTATGCAATACCATGTACCTTTTTAAAAAAATTCATTCAAGCTGGGCGTTGGTGGCACATGCCTTTAATCTCAGCACTCAGGAGGCAGAGGCAGGCTGATCTCTATGAGACCAGTTTGTGGCCAGCCTGGTCTACAGAGTAGCCTCCTAAACAATGCAGAGAAACCCTGTCTCAAGAAACCAAAAAAAATGCATTCAATGTAATATAAATTCTATTTGATTAAATTCATTACTGTACTATATTGTAATTAAACTCATGATACATGAAAATTAGCCAGAAAAATAGAAAAATCAACCAAAAGTCTCCAAAAGTTATTTGTATTTTCACTTTTTAAAGGCAGGATTGATCCAACTATATAGCCCCAGGTTGATCTTGAACTTGGGATCTTTCTGCTCAAACCTTCCAATTCTGAGGCTATGGTTATGTACTACCATGCTTGGCTCTCAATTTTCGAGTTTTATTAGTTGTTTTTTTGTGATTACCCTTTTGCTTTGATTGACTGATTTCATTAAAACCATCTCCAGGAATCTAGGAGAAATATATTATTCTCTTAAAAAGGAGAAGGCTTCTAGCAATGTCCACTTAACTGCTGCTTTGTACATGAACCATCCAGGGTGCAGA